TCCCATCGCCACACCCTTCCAATAGATATTAAAGTAAATTTGTGCGATAGTCTGCTACTCTCAATATTTACGCATGCTGCTGTTGTATATGGACCCAATCTGTTGGAAGTAGATAAATATAGAATTCAACGAATCCAAAATAATTGTTTAAGGTTCATATACGGAATGTGTAAGTATGACCGAATTTTTCACACTCTGGGAATGTGTGGTTGGCTTAATATGATGAACCGGCGCAAACTCCATTTCCTGTGCTTATGTCATAAAGTAATTCTGAACAGAACCCCACCATATCTTTACGAAAAAATACGATTTCGGACGGATGTTCNAAAAAGGAGTCCTTGAAAAAGACTACCATCCCTTTTATGAACAACTAGCACATAAGGATTCATAGTTCTTTTAGAGATTTTGAAATATACACTCCTTCCTTTTAAATAAAGTTAGTTGACAAAATAAATGCGTTCTTTAATTGTTTTAGTCTTTAATTTTTGTATTACACCTTGTAATTAATATTTATTAAAAACTCGTAAGTCGAAATACGAAGCAATTTTTATTTTCAAAACCTCGTAAGTACATTTACAAAAAGTATACTATTGTTTTGTCCTAACACTTAGAACTCAGTAGTTTTCTTTTATTATATTTTAAAACCTTCAACAAAATTTAATCCCAAATTACTCCCTCTCCTAAAATTGTACGTTTTTTGGTGTTCCTCTAAAAACAGTCAAAAATGACTTAGGAGGTTTTAAAATTAGGCCGACGATATGCTAAAGCTTGTTAAAAACACACTGGGTGATAAAGACATAATTGTAGATGGTGATATCCAATAAGTAATAAAAAATTGGTTACACATAAAAGAATTAAATAGAATTCAATTAAAAATAGGCTTACATTTAGAAATAATCAAAATCATAACGAAACACATACAATATTATGACAATCGTATGAATGTTGAATTATCCGGTCAAACACTGAGGAAAAATTAGTATTTGTATTATTTTTGAAACAAAGTGCGATCCTGACATGCGATGAGTGTAAAGGCACTGCTCATTTTTATCTGATGTTTAATAAAAAATTTTGATTTATTAAACTGTCGAAATAAATTTGCAAAAAGCAATGAATTTAATCGTCCGTTACCAAATCAAACAATTGAAAATTCTAGAGATCAAGCGAATAACTTAATTAAATATATTTCAACTCTTGAGGATCCCCAAGGGATTAAACTTATAGATGGTTCACGAAAAATGGATTTTTAGGCTTAGTCATAGACGTTACTTATATATTTAAATAGTTTAACGATGTAAAAGATATTATAGATTATCTTCTCATATTTAAATTGAGCCAACGTTTCATTGAAACGTATTTTAGCGCTACTAGAAGTCGTGGTTGCTTCAATAATAATCCGACTACCAAGCAATTTGAAAGTGGCTTCAGACGGTTGTTAATTAGAAGTGAATTAGAAACATGTATGATCAAAACGAAGCCGATATATGTCCATTACTAGAAGGTTGTGAAAGCATTTCCGTTGAGTGTTCGATCACCATTATATCAATACAATGTGAAAATTTAATGAATCATGAATAATTGAGTTAAATACAAATTTTTGATATTTAGGAGTGATTTTAATAATGGCGCTCCAGATACAACTTTTGCAACAAACACCAATTGTTGAGATCGAACTGGAAAAGAATGCAACAAATCACCAATTGGTTTTATATCGTGCAAATGACGGAGCTAAATTTGAACCCGATGGTATTGAAGCGAACATTAATAAAACCTTCCGTTAGGCGCATAGGTGCCTAGAAGATTCCCGGTTTATTTACCATTAAATATTTGTTTAACAAATAATGCTGCTATATTGAGCTACGGCATATTCATCGAGACAAGCTTACTCAAACGTTTTCCAAGATGACAAATTTTCAAGTTTATTTATGACTGTGCTATTGTTATAAAAGTGGAGCGATGTAAAAAATATGTCGGGTAGATTCGACGCGCTCACTCACGTATCTCGATAAAATACAGGGTGCGGCAAAAAGATAGGCAGGATTTCAAATAGTGGTTGCTCGGTTTGTAAAACCGGCAACACTGTGCACGCGGTCGCGTTAGGTAGACAAAAGTATGCAGTTGTCAGTTAATGACATGGCTTGGAGCGGAGTGCATCGTGCGTTCGTTGTCGAGGAGTATATTAGAAATAGGGAATCTGTAATAGCGACGCAGCGTGCCTTCCGTAATCAGTTTGATGTTGGTCGACATGGCGCGGTTCCGGATGGAAGAACAATTCGTCGGTGGGTTTTACACTTCAGGGATACAAGTTCTGCGCTTAAACGAAAATCTACTGTACCGGCCGACCAAGGACAGTAACAACACCGGAAAATGTGAATGCAGTAAGCGTTTCCGTACAACAGTCTCCAAGGCGTTCAGCTCGTAAGCATGCAGCTGCTTTGGGAATTTCCGATAGAAGTGTTCGACGAATTTTACACAAGTCACTCCAAATGCATCCGTACAAAATGATGGTAGTGCAGGAATTAAATGAAAGAGATTTTGAAACCCGTACAAATTCATGCCGAGATATTCTTCAAAACATTCCCCGAGGCTCTGTATTCATGTCTAGCGATGAAGCTCACTTTCACCTATCGGGTACCGTAAATAAGCAAAATTTTCGTTATTGGTCGGTAAATAACCTACAGGAACTTCATGAGCGACCACTTCACAGTCCAAAGGTTACCGTCTGGTGTGCAATATCTGAGTTGGGCGTGTGGGGTCCTTACTTTTTTGAAGAAGATGGAATAACGGTAACAGTCAACGGAGACCGATATTTAGATATGCTTAACAATTTCCTACGTCCAAAACTTAACGACTTGAACGATAATCAACGAGAAAACCTTTGGTTCCAGCAGGATGGTGCTACATCGCACACCACACGTCGTTCACTTAATCTTCTTCAAGAAATGTTCCCAAACAAAGTGGTGTCTTTACGAGGTGATGTCAGCTGGCCGCCGCGTTCGCCTGATTTGTCGCCTTGCGACTTTTTTCTTTGGGGTTACCTCAAATCGAGAGTTTTTACTCATCGTCCGGACTTTGGAAGAATTAAAGGCAGCCATAACACAACAAATTGCCGCAATTCCCCAAGAAATGATCCATCGGGTAATGACGCGCTTCCGTGAAAACCTACAAGAGTGCATCGACAATAATGGCCGTCATTTAAAAGATATCATTTTTAAAAAATAACTTTCCTAAATGGCATGAAATGTAGATTTGAATAGTAATAAAAAGAAAAGATTGCTTTATGTGGTTTGGTTGTTATTGATATCCCAAATAGTACCTATAATTTTGCCGCACCCATTATTTTGGCGTAAATTTTGACTTTTTGGCGAGTTTTTTCTTTCTTCTTCTGTTATAAATGATTATTATTTCAATATTGTTTCTGACATACCTTTATATTGTCCTCCACATATTCTCCAACATCAATGAACATCATTGCTGGTCTCTCTTTTTTAATTTCTACAACGATTGTGGACATATTTATCCCACAGAACTGAGAGTTCGTTAAAATGACACTTTTTAAAATGGCACCAATGTACTCCGCCATCTGTTGATTGAAGCACGATGCACCATTTATTGATTATGCAAAAACATCAAAAAATTTATGTAATTAACTCCAATAATTTAATAATTATTAGAAATATTTAATAATGTANTAATTATTGTTTTTGTTAGTTAATTTATGCGTAATTAACCGCACAATGTGTTAATAATTTATAGGTTAATGTAGTGACACAATCTTCTGGGTTTGTCCCGTTTTGTGTCCACTGGTATAAAATAAAATAAAAAAAATAAAAAAAAATTGCAAATTGCTTTTTGTAATTTATTACCACTTCAAAACACGTACATTTCGAAGCTGATGCACATTTTATATTACTTGTGTCTTATTTCTTTTATTTATGCCGGTAATGTATGTAATATCGCTTATATAATCTTGAAGAAGGAATATGGCTTTATTTGCTACAGACTTTAGATAATAAAATTGAAAAAATACGTTAAAAAGGCCAAGGAATCTGCCTGATTCGGTGCGCCTACCTGCGCCACAGATAATCATACGCCTAACGGAAGGTTAAGGGTGAGAGGACAACAGAAAATTTAGACTATATTTTGTATGCGAGGACACCAATATCGATACTACGTGGGGAATGAAATTATCGATGATTGCAGATCTGTACTTCACACTAAAACGGATAACAACAACGTCAATGAAACAGGCTATCCTCAATTTGTTTACTGAAAGTGGGTTTAATTTATCGGTCACATCATCAAACAAAGTATGTGGTGATATTCACGATGCTGAGAGTATCCGCACTGGCTAACACCACTAACTGTAAGTGTATCAATCAAATTAAAGCCCAACCTCTTAAATCAAAATTATTTTTCAAACTTTGTGAGAAAAACGACGAGTTATTTTACCAATTACTTCTGTATACCGAAGGTTGTCTAGAGGTGTATGCTTGCAAAGGCTCGTTGAGTTATTTGACTCCACGACCGAATTTCTCAGCGAAATAAACCCTGTTCTGAGTGATGAACTCCAAAAGAATAAGAACCATATTTTTTATTTAGCGGACTTATTTGAAAAATTTAATGATGTCCAAACAAAGCTGCAAGGAAAAGATGTAACAATTATCCAAGCTGGAAGAATACTGTTAGGGTTCCAAGTAAAATTAAATTTATTTAGATCTTCATTGCTACGTAAGTATTTTTCAAATCTGCGACAATTAAAAATAAAAGAAGAAGAGTTGGAAATAAATACAGATCATCTTCAAAAGTTGAGCGACGATTTTAAACTGCGCTTTGTTGATTCTCATTGGATTATTGTGCCATTTTCTGCTGATATTGAAAACGTGGACATCAACCTGCAAGATAAGCTTACTGAATTATTATCGGATCTTGAAGCAAAGACGTAAGTATTGATGATTTGAGGACTCTACAGTTAATTTTGAAAATAGAAAGAAGAAAAATTCTATAAACAAAACAATTTTTTTTTATTTAGCGGGGAAGGTGTGAGGTATGACTACTTATTAAGTCATTACATCGCATTTGTAGAAAATCAGCCTTTGTATTTTATAAGCAAGATCGGCTCATATCTTGTAGTCATAATGGTGAAATATACGTCATATTCTGAAATATATCTCGAAAAGATCTCATCTCAATCTCTGTGGCCAAGATGAGTCCTTTTCAAAACAATTATTATGGACATTCAGTAACATGACTTAAGCATGATAGCGTCATGATATTCTTGAAAATTCAAAACATTGCGTAAAACGTATATTATTAATATTTGGGTTCTTGGTTATAATTTTAAAAATGATACTTATACAGAAGTTTGAACGACTCATAATAATTGTGGGAACAGTTATATAATAGAGTTACAGAGTGATAAGGAAGAGTTACATTTTGGGAATTTTAATAAAACAAATGATCAAAGAAGCAGATCCCAAAATGAACAGGTTGCACATACACATACGTTCCACAAAGAATTATTCAAATTCTCTGGCAATTATTCTTGGTAGAACGTTTGTGTACCTATCCATAGCGCAGCCATAAAAGACTGGTTCCTAACTACACATCATAAATATGAAATTATTAACATATCTCAGCAGCATATTGTAGAAATAAAACACAAATTTATGTTGGTCTGATAATAACCCACATGTGACTGTGGAAAGTCACGTTCAGCATCAATTTTCATGTTTCGTAATTAATTTGACCTACTGAAGGAAGTTCCATTGAATTTCAGACAAAATATTTACTATTAACGTAATGGCGCCATTTTAGTTGCACAATGATTAACAATCTTAAATCCATGCAATTCGCACACAAGCTGAAACAAAAAGAAAAACATGTCAATAATTAATTAATAAATATTGGTAATTGATTAATTTATATGAATTATCTATTCGAAACTTATAAAGGTATGGAGGTAAAATTGTTTACAAATAAATACAAAATTATATATTTATTGTGGAAGGATATAATTAGGAATGAAGATGAGATGGGTGAGATTGAACACAAATGGAATCTTTATTATTATTATTAAAATCCATGTTTCGAGATTAATTATTAAGAATTAGATAAAATAAAACATATTTCCCGTTCTTTAAAAAACCCATTTCATAACTTGTATTATTGTATTGAGTTCTTTATTCATGTTTCATGTCTCGTGTCGAGTGTTGTCTTTTTCGAGAAAATATTGTTAAAATTGTTAATTACATGTGAAATTTTATCTCTAATGACCAAACAGATGTTTCTAATTTTAAATTAGTTTTATTCTTGACCGTAAGTTTGTAAAATTATATATTTTATCCGATTTTTATTTTTTACTAGTTTTAATTATTCTCATTTAAACAGGATTTTTTGTAATTCAATTAATTTGTAGATTCGGCTGATGATGACCTAATATAGTGTCGAAACCGGTACCGAGGAAATTTAAAATAAACGCGAGAAACTGAAGTTTAAAAAACATTATTGTTTTATTGTATCTGATTCTTACAAATCGAATCATTTGAAGACTAGAAGCTGCAAAAATTACATGTGGTAGATATAAAAGAAACAACAACGTGCAGCAAACAGCGTGATGGTCAGAAAATATAAAGCAAGGTATCAGAAATAAAAAATGGTGATTGAGGCAAAAAAACAAAATTATAGATAGACCGAGATCGAAGAGAAGAGTTCGAAAACCAAAAAAAATCAAAGGTACTTTTTTAAAATATTTAAACCTTGAAAAACTCTCTAGGAAAACATAAACCAAAATAGTTGAAACTACAGTTGTAAACGATAAAAACGGATTAATGCTGAGGGAAAAATGGAAGGAAAACTTCATGAAACTGTGAAACGTAAATAGTCAAAATGAGAATAAGTTACCGACCCCTGTATCACAAAAAAGAAACAGAACAGAAGCAGTTGAGCAGATAACCATGAAAGAGTTAGAAACGGTAATAACAGGATAAGAAATGGAAAAGCTCCCGGTCAAGATAGATTAACCACAGAAGTGATAAAATATATGAGATCACAGGGAAGAGAAGTGTTACTGCATATACTGCAGTAAGAGTGGAAAGAAGAAATTTTACCCAAGGATTAGCAAACGGAACTATTAGAACCAATCCACAAGAAAGACGACAGAAAATATTGCAATAATTATAAAGGAATTGTATAATAGATTTTGAATATTATAAAAGTGTTATATGTTAGAAGCGTAAATGGGGGATAGTTGGGGCCATCTGCTATGTACTTAGCCCCAAAAATTTGACCTAGACCCCCTCCATGGTTTTTCTTAAGAATTAGCGAAATTTTTATCTTATTTCTATCTAAACTAAAAGTGATTGTGTAGATCCTTTGTTATTCATCAACTTTAACTAGCCAGACACCTACGCGTGACGTGTTCTTAAGGCTAACGCTTGTGTTTGTTCACACGTTTTGTTTGAATAGTGGATTGTTGATGAAAAATCAACAATGAAATTTTTCTGATATTCTCATCTTTATTATGGAAATCAAGCGTGTTTGCGATTAATAACATTTAGAAGAAGCAAATATCATTGTCAGAATCCTTGCAAAAAAATAAGACTCCAAAATTCAACTCTGAAAAGCTGTATTTATTAAGAGGTAAGCTCTAATATCTCATTAAGTGTTTATGTCACCTGAAATTTGTTACATACGAATATTATACAAAAAATATCATAAATTGTTTTTTTGTGTTGTCTATCAGTCTGCTAAACTCACGTTTTTTTTATTTGATACAATTCTTTGTATTTCTTTTTTCGTTACTTCAGTTATCATGTAGATAGCATCTAAACTGATTCTACAAATGATTCGGGGTAAGCAACGCGGCGCCCGCGGGCGCCATGGCGCTCCCGATCGATTTTTAATGCGCCCTCGTTGGACTACGGCGATATATAGCGAGTAGTCAGGGTAGTCAGTTGAGTTTAGGATTGTGCATAGATTAGCAGTTTGCTAACCTTGAGCGTATCTAATAACAGGCACGTATTTTTTGTTAGTGTGTGATCGTATTTCGAATAGACCACGCATAGACCGTGCATTTAAAACTACCAAGTAATAAGAAAAAATTCTTTTTTTTCAAAACCCTCCATGGATAAATGTAAAAGAAAAAGAACATATTATTTTAACGATGAATGGGAACATATATATTGTTTCGTTTCATATATATTGTAAAATATCGCATTTGCTAGCTAAGAATAAAAAACCATTTACAGAAGGAGAAGAGTGAAAGAAGCCATGTTAGAAGCTGCTGATTCACTTTTTGAAGAATTTAAAAATAAAAAGGAAATAGTTTCAGCTATAAACACGTTGCAATTATCAGCACGAACTGTTACTAGAAGAATTGAAGTAATTGCGGAGAATTTGGAGGCAGAATTAGCAAATGATCTGGAAAATTGTATTTTCTTTTCGCTACAGATGAATGAATCGACAGACGTGACAAATATATCACAATTAGCAATTTGCGTGAAAATGGTATTTTCTGATTTTACAACAAAAGAAGAATTCCTTAAAGTTCTGCCATTAAAGGGAAGCACCAGAGGAGAAGATACCTTTTCTACTTTTAAAAAGTATACAACAGATGTAAAATTACCTAGTATAAAAGTTAACAGACGGGGCACCAGCGATGACTGGTAAGAAAAAAGGATTTATTGCCTTATGTAGACAGGATTCCTTATTCCCGAAATTTATTTCTTATCATTGCCTCATACATCAGGAAATGTTATGCGCAAAAACAATCGGTTTTCAACACGTATTTACGATAGTAACAAAAATTATTAATTCCATAAGATCGGGAGCTATGCAACACAGATTGTTTAAATTACTTTTAGAAGATGAGGTCGTTCAGTTCACAGATCTTCTTTTACATACTGAAGTGAGGTGGCTGAGCAGAGGTAAACTACTGGAGCGGTTTATAATGCTTTTGCCACAAATAAAGGAATTTATTGCATCAAGAGGCGAATTTTACGAGCAATTAGAAAATAAGGATTGGCTAATCGACCTCGGATTTCTGACAGATATAACGGCAAAGTTGAATGAATTAAATTTAAAAATACAAGGGAAAATCAGCATATCGCTGACATGATTAGTGCAGTAAATGCATTCAAATGCAAGTTAGTGTTGTTGAAATCCCATCTATTGAAAAAATCATTATTACATTTCCCAAATATACTGTTGAGAGTTTAAATTTGAATAATGAAAATTTTACTGCTACATCATATTAAGAAATTATAGATAAGCTAATAGAAGAGTTTTATTCTAGATTTGAAGATTTTGCAGCATTAGAACCCATTCTAAGATTTTTCATAAATCCATTCAATGTTACTGAAGATGATGTCCTTGAAACAGTTTCAGTGTATTTCGAGCTACATAATATCGAAGACCTAGAATTAGAAATAATAAACTTGCAAAGTGATATTATTTTAAAAGCGCATAGTAATGATAAAATGTTTTGGAACTTAGTCGATGAAAATAAGGATCCTATTTTAAGGAAATGTGCGCTAAAAATTTATTCATATTGTGCAACAACATACAATTGCGAGTCTTTGTTCTCATATTTCATATCTCAATATTTGAAAAATACCGAACAAAGCTTAATGACTCACATTTAGATAATTGTTTAAGGACTGGGAACTCTAAATATACCACCAATTATAAGAAATTAGCTGAAAATATGGACACCCAAGTTTCACTCTGAATTATATGTATCATTATGTATGACACCAACAAAATAAAGTTATAAAAAATCTGTTTTTTTAATGCCTATTTATACCTGTTGATGATCTGTAAAATATGCGCCCTCGGTAATTTTCAACTTTAGTATTGCGCCCTTAAGGACAAACAGGTTCCCGACCCCTGATCTAAAGTGTTTTTCATCTTTCTTAGGTCATTTGAATTCATTTTAGTATTGATAGTAAATGTTTTCTTTTTTATTGTTATTTCTCAAAAAGCAGACTGATAATACGATGTAATTATGTGGTAAAACTTTGTATTTTCCTCTGCAAATGTATTTATAAATATGTTATCTACACATCTTATATAATCTCCCACTATAAATATATTTTTAACATTTTGGGTTTCCTTTACGAAATGTAAGACTATTAAGAAAAGTTAATCTATTACCTGTTAAACTGAGGAATTGTCTTCAAAAGTTAGGCTACAGGAAAGCCATAGTAGTTGGTGTCATGATATTGCTAATCAAAATAACTTTCTTGAAGGTGTTTGTAATTTCAGTACACAGTTAACTGGTGCACCACTGCGACAAATCGGTACTATCTACATATACTTTTGGAGGTTGGCCTCACCTAAAATACACAAAAAAAATATTAGATAAAAATATATCTTACATTTTATACATATAGAAATGTATTATTGTAACTAATCAAAAGAAAATATCCTGACTGTATTTTTCATCTATCAGAATGATAGATTTAGAAGGACACACAATTTATGAATATAAAAATATAGCAAACTAGGTTAATATCCATATGATATGTATGCATTTTTCAAAAAACTCTCATTATTTCCCAAACTATTAATGTTAGGTATCGGACATATGGGATATAAAAGATGTAGAATAAGACGCCGAAGACGACTAAGTAATAAAATATGGGGATGCCATTAAAAAAAATGAAGTTATGGTACTTCCAAATTTCGAAAAGTTAACGTGCCATAATACAGTGGCTAAACATTCAAGACAGCCGTTCGCGGCACCAAAACATACTCCATCATGTTGCTTAAGCATATTCTGAATCCTAAATTGATATCCCAAAAATCGAGTGTTCTCGGATTTTTTGAACAAATATCTGCTGGAGCAAATGTTTCTCGAAAAATTCGAATAACTCGAGAACGCCTAAATCCAACTGCAAGAAGTAAAATCATTCATAAACCTTGAAAACAGACAAATCCAAATATGTAAAAATATACAGGATGTTCCATTTAAAAAATAAAGTTGGTGGCGACTTCCGGTATAACCGGAAGTGCTAAAAATCTGAAAATATTTTAGTCGAAGAGAACGCAATTGATAATACTTAAATCTAAATTCTCAAAATTTTGTTTTGGCCAGAACCCCAGAAACATGTAATGAAGAGACCGTTGAAACACCTGTATAAAGTCTTGGGGTAAAACTGACCCTAGTATGCATAGTATGTATTCAAAGCAACAATTATTATCATTTTCCCGTCGTTCGCAAAAGTAGAAAGAATTACTCTGTAGTTGCAGTTTCGTGTACTGGAGAGATATATTAATTGGGGAATCACCGAATTACGATTTCTGTTGTAAACAAACGAAATTTGCAAAGATAAATGTTAGTGAAGTAGTGTAGTTCCATAACATATTACTGACTTTTACAATAAAATTTATTTTACCTTTCAGAATTACTGGAGGTAAGTTATTAGGTACTTTTGTCTTTGGATAGTTAGTAAATTGTATGTCATTTTTAGTGCCAGTAAAACATGACGAGAAAAGGTCTAAATGAAGCTGAACTGTCGGCCGTTCTGGAAGACGATAATTTTCCCGAAGAACCTACAGATATTTTATCGAGCGATGCTAAATTTGAGCCAGAAGTGATCGAGGCACAAAATAGTGGTAGTGAAGAATCGGAAATTGAAGTGACTAACGATGAAGACAATACAGAAAATGGTAATGCGACATAAAGTGATGAGAGTGATAGTTATTTCTTAGGAAAAGATAATGTAACCAAGTGGTATAAGAAGGCTCCAGCAACCACACATACTCGTGCCAAGAACTTGGTGAGTAATTTACCTGGTGCAAAACAAGCTGGAAAAGAGGTAAAAACTCCCATTGACGCACTGAGATGTTTGATTAGTGATTATATTATAGATTGCATAGTAGTCTTTACCAACCTGAAAATACAGAGCAAAACGGCAAATAACAAAAAATTGCAAACTTATGAAAAACAAACAGACAAAGAAGAGATCTTAACAATAATTGGTCTTCTTTATCTATGTGGTGTGTTCAGATCCGCTCATTTATCACTGGATGACTTATAGAGTACTAAGTATGGACCTCCTGTTTCATGCAATGATGCCTAAAAGACGTTTCGTATACCTTTAGGCCAATTCAAGATTTGACAATAAAATTGAAAGTGATCCCATCAATAAATTAGCAGCGATTTCAAATTTTTGGACTCCTTTCATCAAAAATTGTAAGAAACACTACACAATAAGTGAGTATGTAACTTTAGATGAAATGTTGATACCATTTAGAGGTGTAGTTTTATACATTACCTCCCAAAGAAACCAGCAAAATATGGTATAAAAGTTTTCGGTATCTTTTACCTTAAGTTACGTACCTTTTATTTCTTAGGAGGAAAAGTATATGCTGGTACGGAAGGCAATAGAGTTGCAAGGGATCTGAACCACAATGTTGTTATGGAAATCATGCAACTAATACATAATACAGGTCGAAATTTAATCACTGATAACTGGACACTTCTATTCCTCTATTACAAAATCTTCTTGAAAAAAAAATCACCCTTGTGGGAACACTAAAAAAGAATAGAAAATAAATACCTGTTGTCCTTGTGCACTCAACTATAGAGGGATTTAGTCCACAATAAAAAATGCTTTCTTACATCCCCAAAATAAATAAAAGTGTGGTTCTTTTCAGTACATTTTATGACTAAGCAATCACTATAGATCCAGAAACAGAGAAACCAGAAGAAATATTATTCTATAATAGTACCAAAGGAGGAATTGATACACTAGACAAGTTATGCAGTGCATATTCAGTGCAAAGAACAACAAGGAGGTGCTGCATATGCTAAATATAAGTGCTATAAATGCATTAGTATTGTACAACAGCACGAATCCAGACGCAATAAAAGATAAAAAACATGGCAAACGACACTTTATAAGAACTGTAGCTTTTATTCTCCTGAACAACACATGAAAAGAAGAAGTACAATACAAACATTAGGACACCAGATAGAAAAACTGCTGAGAGATGTGTTCAGAAAAACTGTAAACAATTTATATGTAGAGATCACAATGTTATAATGTGTAATATTTGTTATGAAAACTTCTTCTGATGCTTCTAGCCCCATTCCTTTGTGGGGTCAGATTATTTCAGTTATTTCCCAGTCAGATTATTTATTATATTTATTTGATTAAAAAAATTGTCGATTTTTAAGCGACAGTCTGATACTTCCAAAAATGCCCATTTTAATAATGCAATAACTATTATAAAATAATATAAGTTTCTATTCATAATACATTTTTGTAATAAAATTCTTACCTCATCCATGTCGAGATCTTATTGTATATTCTTAATCGTCTTCGAAATGCAGAATTGAAAATTGTCTCTTTTTTGATTTTATTCGTTAACAATTGACGGAAGTTTTGACGTATATTTGGACATTCCTACAACGTTCTTTATGAATAAACTGTTACCACCACAAAAGAAGCTTCTTTGAGATCAACTCTTCTTGAATGGAAACCATAGACATAAAGCACTTTATGTCTATGATGTAAACCAGAATGGCATCCAGATGTCACGCACAAGTATATACAGAAACGACATCTGGTGTCAAGTATAGTTTGGTTTCCCATTAATAGATGGTATGATTTAAATTATTTTACATTTTTAGATACAATTTATTTTTATTATATTTTATGTATTTGGTCTGCACCAAGTGGTTCACTTGGCGACTTTCTTTCACATCTTTATTCAAAAGTAAACACATAGGATTGTTGTTAACATATTTCTGTGCAAAATGACGTATTTTTAGTTGTAAAACAAGGATAAGAATAGATTTCAGGCTAAGAAAAGCGCAGAAAATTTGTTATTATCGCGTGAATCTGCACCAAATGAAAATGTGCGATTTTCTCAAAATACTTCAGCTATTTAGCTTTACACTAGATTGTGTAAAGGAATCTACCTAGAATCGGAAAATTAAGACATTTTGAAACTTTGGCAATCATCTCATAGAGGGTACTTTTCAAAATTATATTTTTCTTAATTTCAATTCCAATGCAAGATTAATTATATCATAACAAGAACTGATAATAAAAAGGGATAATAAGAAACAGTAAAAGAAAAAAACTGTTATAATGTTTATATTCCATTTTATTTGTTAATTGTGGAAATCTGTAAAACTAAGGTAATAATAATATATGAATAGGCATTCGTATATTTCGGTGATTTTTAATTATTTATTTATTTGCTCTTACTAGTTTCGGCTACCTAGTCGTCTTCGGAGAGCTTCCACAAACAAAATTACATTAGAAAATTTTTTTTAAACGTTAGTAACAATAAAGTTACATACAAGATGGTTCAGTTTTTAATCGGGAAACTTTACTAGGACGAAGTACTTGCCAAAATAACATAAGTCTTTTATATAAACATAGGATCGCAACTCTATGAGCTGTCAAAGTTCAGCCAAACATTTACATTTTATCTTTTATTTCGGATGTACTATTGGTTAACACCTTATTTTCAACCATACCTTAATCTTCCCTAGCGCCCTCTAAGGGGATGAAATTCACAACCCCTTTGATTTTTTTATAACAACTTTTTAACGCCATGGAATATTAACATAACAAAATATGGGTTGTAAAGCTCATTCTTTAGTGGTACTTTCTTGTCTCTTTAGTACTTTCCTTCAAGTTAATAGTTTTAGCGTAAAAAAATAAAATATGCTACATTCTTCTGCAAAGCGCTCCTATTATAAAAAAAAATTCTTTATAGCTGGCTATCGAAGTTGTACTAACTAAATAACATCAATTAATTGAAATATTCACAATTTCAAATTAGATTTCAAATTAAAAAAAAAACATTAAATAAAGTATAATGTAATTTCAATAAAACTTTAGGGATGATTTATTCTTTCAAATACATTGGAATAATGAAAGTGGATAATTTTATGTATGGTTTATATACATTGAAATGGTACGTGGACGTGTACACTAAATAGTGGCAAGCAAATAATACATTACCATCAAAATATCATAATATATTAATATTTTTTCGAATAACTACCATTTAACATATGTATATTCTGTGGCTCTTAAATCGCAGTAAATTTAGTTGGGGTATGTGAAATTGTTCTTCAACCTTTATGAATATTTTGGTTCTGAAAAGAACCGGGTCGTGTTGATATTGAAATAATTTCAATTTCTTAGCCTCCAAAGCCGTAGAGAGTGCGCCCTTGCCGTTTAAGGGCGTAAACGACGTCCATAGCAGTAACGGTTTTCCTCTTTGCATGTTCCGTATAGGTGACAGCGTCGCGAATAACGTTCTCAAGAAATACCTTTAGGACTCCTCTGGTTTCTTCGTAAATTAATCCGGAAATTCGTTTTACGCCACCGCGACGAGCAAGACGCCTGATGGCCGGTTTGGTAATGCCCTGGATGTTGTCACGGAGTACTTTGCGATGACGTTTCGCACCCCCTTTACCAAGCCCTTTTCCTCCCTTTCCTCGGCCAGTCATTGTGTTGGTTTGTCAACAATCTAGTAATCACGAACAACAAACGATAGCGGACACGGTGGTTATGATAGGAGTGGCCAGTTTCGACCCTGTTATATACATGTGGAACGGGAACGCCTACCGCCGCTTGGACTCGACCAATCCGAACAAGCGTGCAATATGCGGTACGTGTAAAGGATAGAAAATAGCCTTCGGCCGTTAAAATTTTTTAGATCTGACGATAGCAATCGGTTTGTGACTGTCTTGTTTGTTACTGTTACGTTCATAAAAAAAAAAACAACGAAAATGGCGCGTACGAAGCAAACTGCTCGTAAATCTACTGGCGGTAAAGCCCCTCGTAAACAATTGGCAACAAAAGCAGCCAGGAAAAGCGCTCCCGCTACTGGAGGTGTAAAGAAGCCACATCGTTACAGACCTGGAACCGTAGCTCTTCGGGAAATTCGTCGTTACCAAAAGAGCACTGAACTTTTGATTAGGAAGTTACCTTTCCAACGTTTGGTTAGAGAAATTGCCCAGGATTTTAAGACCGATTTGCGATTCCAAAGTAGTGCCGTGATGGCCTTGCAAGAAGCTAGCGAGGCTTACTTGGTAGGACTTTTTGAGGATACCAACTTGTGCGCAATTCATGCAAAACGCGTCACCATTATGCCGAAGGACATTCAGCTCGCTAGACGTATTCGTGGCGAAAGAGCTTAATTCATTTTAATCAACCCGACTTCTCAACAAGACCGGTTCTTTTCAGAACCAATAGTTTATTTTCTGAAAAGCAACTTTTCTAATACTAATTGTACATTTTTAAGTAAGTTTTAAGACCTAAAGTTTAAATTACAACTTACACAAGGCATAAAACGGCAACCGAAAGCTTTTTTTTTTATTTCATTCAAAATATGTTTAATATTTTCTTGACAAAATCAAATAGGTGCAACAATAGTTATAATATAAATTCGGAATATACTTTACAATATTATGATTATATAGTAACATTAATTCTGATGTTATCACCCAAAAATTGTAATTATTTTTGATAAAGTGTAAATAAGAGATTAATTTTTAATCAAATAAATTTGTGCTTTTGATCTGCATCCATTTTGTTTCCAGAAGACAATAAAATTTGTGTGAATCTGACGTAAAATTTGCCCGATTTTCAATGAAACCTGTAGAATTCTGTGTAATTTAAGCAGATCTACAATAATTATTTTGTTTTGCCAAGAATAGTGAAATGAATTAAACAAAGGGGTTAATTTTAATAATCTTGTAGGTTTGCAGCGTAATATTATGATTATATAGTAACATTAATTCTGATGTTATCACCCAAAAATTGTAATTATTTTTGATAAAGTGTAAATAAGTGTTTACTGTGGAGAGTGTGGCGAATTGCACGACGAGGTTGTAGACCGAGTCGTGTAATCACACGAGTACTGTAATTATGCTCTAGCGCATGTGTGATATACAACATTTTATCTACGACTGCCAAAAATTACTTAAAAATCAATTTCTTTAAAAAGGTCTATTTTGACATGTATAAAAATATTTTGAAATGGTTGTTGACAATTTTGAATTAATGTCAGTTTCAATAACATGTCTACTCTAAATTACTAAAACATAACAATTAATGTTTATAATAAATAGTATTGTTTCTCTTTAAATAGGTAGCACTTTTCCTTTTGTATTGTTGCTCGTTTCAATAAATTAAATCTGTTCTGATTGGGCTAAAAATGCGTTACGTAATGAAACCAGTGCGGTAATGAAATTCATTTCGCAACGCAAATCACCTCAAATGAGTGTGGTAATGATGACTTATCTAAGCAGTCGTAGATAATAGTATATTATTCAACAATCGTATAATGGCGGCTGTTACCCATGAAGATGAAGTTGCAATCTGAGTGGGTAACAGCCATTATACGCAAGTTGAATACTATACTTTATCTAAACTATTTAATTTTGAAAAAAAATCGAAAAAAAAAAAACTTGATAAACATTTCGGACATAACCTCAATATAAGAAAGCTGTCTATTTCTGTCTAAGAATTTCTGTTATTATTTTATTCTTTGATTAGTAGGTCGTAGTCAGAACTGTGGAATAATGGCTTCATTATTCAACACTTTGTCAGTCATGCGTAGTAATGCGTGTCATTACCCGTCAAAAATCAAATGTATAATGAATGGATAATTCAATAGTTGTAGATAAAATTATTAACAAAACTTGTTCAGTCAGAATAGAAAAGAAAGGAAATAAAAAGAAATTGAAAATAAAGACAAGTTTTAATATTGTTGACAATTAAAATAATTAAAAAAAATAAAATAAAATATGAATTTTAAACAACTGTGTATAAATACATATGTAGTTATTTCCGAAAGCTTTTTCATTGTAAAGTCCTCCAGATGGCGATCGGTTTTTATGACTCCGTCCCTTTCCTACTGTAGTAGTAAAACGGTTAAAGACGGGATTATAAACAGGTAGTTTTCGTAGAATACTGGGATTTCTCACTCAGGGCCGCATTAAGGAACACCCTTTACTTGCAAATTGTAGAAAAATTATACATAGGTTGATATAATATATATATTAATACTCATTATTCTCTTATTTGTCGTGTTTATTTCTAATATTACGTTAATTATAATTACTGTATTTAATTACTAATAAAAAAAAAATAATTATAAAATTAAATTTTAGTTGTTATAATAAATAAACTTTGGTTTCTTATTAAATTTTGGTATAAAAATTAAAAAAAAATCGACCCTGTCCTTGCCTGACCAGCTTTTATTTATGACTGTCAAACAACCGATGCCTATGTGGAAGACTATAACGACCGACCGTTATTCCTTTCCTTTCTACGTATAGTCACACCAAGATCCGGAATTACAACCCCCATAAATTGTAGACCTCTGCTTCTGTGCGGTTAAGGGTACTTAACCATTTCTATCTGAGACGAGACCTACACTAAGGGAAATTATTCTTGACTTTCAAGAAAAATTTATTCTTGAATGTATTTCTTAGAAACAAGTATAAGATACTCTTAAAACAAAAATATTTTAACAATACTTTTTTTTTTTTCAAAAAAATATTTTTGTTTTAAG